AAAAGAGAGAGGGGGTTGTGTTGTCTAGGCCCCTAAGGGCCCTACGCGCGGCGTGAGAGCTCGGAAGCGACTTGTACGTACGAGTCCTACTTACACGCCTTAGGGGCCTAGAGAACACAACCCCCTCTCTCTTTTCTCCCAGTAAGCTATAAGTACGTACACGCCGTCCACGAAACCGTCGGACAGGGCCAGGACAGGAACGCAGACAACCAGGGCCCATGGGCCGCTCCCACAACAGCCGGCGAGGAGTCCGCCAGACGTGTCGCTCCAAGGAGCTCTTATACACACATGGCAGTTACGAAACCCGCGTGCTGCAGCCTTCAGGCACGACCCACCGCAAGCTGCGGCGTTGGGCTCTTTCAGGTGTGAGCGACGGCGAGGAGTGCTCAGAAGCTTGGGAGGAGGATTGGAAAGGTGAAGAGCGCCGAAATTCCAATGGTTCTGCACGGCGCAAGGCTCGCAGTCAGCGGAACGCCGCTCTTAAGACCACTCCTCCTGCCGACGGGTCTCTCCTCCACCTTAGCCTTTCGAGCCTCCCGAGCGAGTGCGACGAGCTGCTCAGCGCCGACGACATCCGCTCAGAGTGGTCGGTCGTGAGTGCCACCGAGACGGCATGGACCATCGTTGGCGACGAGATCACCGCATCGCACACACCCGAGAGCCTCGCGTGGCCCAGCGAGGGCAACGGCGGCGAGACGCGGAGCGACGAGGCCATCGCTCGGATGCTGCAGAGGGAGGAGCGGCGCCCGTGGCTGGTCCACTTCCCGGCTCCGCCCTTTGGCAACTCCTCCTCCTCTTCGCGCTGCCTCGACCGCGGCTGCCAAGAGGCGCTCGAGGAGCGGCTCGGCGTGTGCGTGATTTGCTCCGAGTCGGTCGCGACCGTCATCATGGAGCCGTGCGGCCATCTCGCGATGTGCGCGCGCTGCCACGCCGGCTGGGCGCGGCACTCGAGCACTTGCGCGCTCTGCCGCACACCAGGGGAGGGAGTCCATCTCCTCGTCGGATCGAGCCACGCTGTGGACGTTTGCCTGCTCGACGGCCGCCTGAGCGTGCCCTCGCTCGAGCCGGAGCCGGAGCCCCGATCCAGCCGCCCGTCCCCCAAGCTCACGCGCCGCCGTGAGCTCCGCCGGCTGACGCGCGAGGCGCACGCGAGCGGCGGTGGCGGCGGCGTAGGGTGGGAGGGAAGGGGTGGCCCCGAGAGGCCCTGGGGACGGTCTGACCGCGCCGGCGGCCGCTTCGCCGTCAAGGCAGCCGAGGCGGCGGCGCGGCGGGAGTGGGAAGAGCACGAGAGGCGGATGCGCTGCTGGCACGAGTTCCGACGCTCCGTCCGAACGTTGCTACGCTCCGCGACAGCGACGATGGCGGACGTTCTAGCCAAAGCGCCAGGTCCGCTCGGCTGCGAGCGGCGGTGGCGGACGTGGATGGGCTTCGACGCCGCCGACGTGCAGCTCTCGCCCGTCAGCCGCAAATACGCGCGCACCCTCCGCTCGAAGCTGGACGGGTCCTCTAGCCAGCTTGGGGGGCCAAGCGGCGGCTTCCGTGGCGACTGCACCAACTACAACAACTACTATTGGGATTGCCGCTCCATTGGCCACTTCCAGTCTGGGGAGGGCTCACGCGCCCACCGACGGCGGACCGCGTCGGAAAAGCGCGACCTCGGGCGCGACGCAGAGCTCGAGGGGCGCCGACGCGCTGATGAGAGGCGCGCGCGGCGCGAGCAGGCGGCTAAAGCGCGGGTGGAGGCTGAAGCAGCTGTCTCGGCCGCGGCGGAGGCGGCGCGCGCTCCCAAGCGGTGCGCCGAGTGCGGTGAAAGAGAGTCGCAAATGATGGCGTTGCCGTGCCAGCACGCGGCGCTCTGTCGGTCCTGCTGGGAGGGTACCGCCGAGAGGTCGCGGTGCGCGCGGTGCAGCGCGTTGTGTGAGGTCGTGCTGTGCGTGCATCGCCCTTGAGCGATCTCCGTGGACGGACTACCCAGAGAGCAGAGTTTTTCGTCAAGAGCACAGGCTCCCTTACCAGACGATGGAGAGGGGGGACGACACTGCTTCAGCAGCGTGCACCTCGATCCTGTACCGTGTTTGTTATGACCCCCCCCCAATGAACACACCTGTGAGGGAGGGCGAGACGATCGAGGGGTCCCGTACCATGCGGAATCGACCCTATCCAGTGCTCAAGTGCTCACAAGAGCACAGGCTCCTCCGACCCCAGGGCCTAGGCGGCCCGCCATGAAATCTAGCCGTGTGTGCTGGCGTCCGGGTCCCAGCGGGTTTTCACGTAGAGTAACAAAAGTACACACAGGCTCCGAGGCGCATGAATTTTCTTGGAGCACTTGGAGTGCAGTCGGCAACCTCACATCCAGGGCCGGGGAGCGAAGAAGCGCACCCAGCGAGCCGGATGATCGGCATCGGGCTACGGGCTAGAGAGCCCTGACCCCCTAGCTAGGGGGGGGTGCGCGACCGCGTTCGCAGGGAAAGGGCCGTACGAAAATAAACACGGGTGTCTCCGAGGGTTAGTACCGCGCTCCAGGTTTCCCCTAGCAGCAGAACGCCCCCTCTACTCAGAGCTAGTAAACACCAGGAATCAAGCCCCCCTTTTCTAGACGCGGCCCACATCCAGCATGTCGATACTCCCTCCGGCACCGTTGCCATGCGTTGCGCACAGCGCGCCGTCGCCGGGCAGGCGCGCTCATTCATCATTGTACACATCCAAGATGCAAGAACACACGTGCATTGCGCGTCAACGGCGACTACATCAAGACAGCGAAAGCCTTATTCCGCACCGCCGCCATCGGAGCCACCGCCTCCCACGCGCCCACTGCCGGGTCGTACTGCTCGACCGAGCTGAGGTCGATGAAACCGGGACCCATTCCGCCAGCGACGTAGAGCTTGCCGTCGAGCACCGCCACGGCGTGAGCCTCCCGCGCCTCTGCCATCGGCGCCACCGCCTCCCACGCACTCAGCATCGGATCGTACCACTCCACCGAGCTGAGGTGGCCGTCGTTGTAGCCTCCGACAGCGTACAGCTTGTCGTCGAGCACCGCCACGGCGTGAGAGTCCCGCGCCGCCGCCATCGGAGCCACCGCCTCCCACGCGTTGGCAGCCGGTTCGTACCGCTCGACCGAGCTGAGGGCGCCGTCGCCGAGGCCGCCCACAGCGTACAGCTTGCCGTCCAGCACCGCCACAGAGAGGCGACTTCGAGCCTCCGCCATCGGCGCCGCCGCCTCCCACGCATCAAACGCAGGGTCGTACCGCTCCACCGAGCTGAGGTGGCCGTCGTCGTCGTTGTAGCCTCCCACCGCGTACAGCTTGCCATCGAGCACCGCGACGGCGTGGTCGTACCGCACCTCTGCCATCGGCGCCACCGCCTCCCATGCATTCGTAGTCAGGTCGTACCGCTCCACCAGGTTGGAAGTTGCATCACCAGCCTCAGTCCTGCCGCCCACCACGTAGAGCTTGCCGTCGAGAACCGCCATGCCGGCATACACTCGTGCCGTTGACATCGGCGCCACAGCCTCCCCCTCCCACTCATTTGTTGACGCGTCGTACCACTCCAGCGAGCTGATGACGCGTCCAGCGTCATCGCGGCCGCCGAACACGAGCATGCGCGGCCTCTCGCGCTTCTTCAGCGTCTCCTTCCAGCCGCGGCGCCACGCGCGGCACGTCCCCTTGACGGCGTGATCCTTGGTCGGCAGCTGGGCGAGGATGTGCGGGGCGAGGTCCGGCGAGAGGAGGACCTCGGAGAGCACCCACTCGGGCTGCTCCACGAGCCGAGCGGCGTGCTCCTCCGCCACGCGCAGCGCGGCGTCGCTCGCGCCCGCCTGCGCCTCGATGATGGCGCACAGCTGCGCTGGCGAGAGGCCCGCGACACGGGCGCCGATGCGGTGGGAGGCCATTGAGAAAAAGAAAAAATTCAAAACCAAAAAAAACGAGAGAAGAATATAGGGTGGATAAAGCGCCTGTTCACGGCATGGAGGGTGAGCCACACCGAACGTACCGAGCGAAGAGCCGAGCGGAAGGAGGACGGGGAAGATGACTCAGAGGAGGACGAACCAGTGGAAATTCAGTTGTCAGATGTCACGATGCATCCGAAGGGGACCCCAGCGCCGGCATCATCCGTAGAGGCACGAGTGTTCGAAGAGAGAGTGGACCTGAGCAACAACATGACCTGGAGGCAAATGATCGGAGTGGGAGTCAGAAACGTGGTCCTTGCGCGAGGGGAGCTCGATAGACTTGAGGGGCCAGGATACGCCGCGAGGAGGACGGAGTTACGCCGAAAGGCGAAAGAAGCCGCGAGAACAAGGGACCGGCAGGCGGCGGCGCCGCAGGACGAGGCAGAAGAGAACGACGCGACAGAGGAGGAAGTGACAAGGGAGGGAGAGAACGACGAGAGTGGGACGGCCGCGAGGTGGCATGAAGGTTGCAGCGAGAAGCGGCGAGAGACTGCGAAAAGAGATACGAAGAGGCGGACTCCCCAGGGTGGGCGACGGCTAGCGCATCACACTCCTCTCCTTAAAAAATCCCTGTGTGGTGGCGGCGTGCCGTTTCTCCGTCTCCCATCCCTCCCTTGGCAGGCGCGCGCTCATTCATCATTGAAGGCCGCGACCAAGATGCAAGAACACATGTGCATTGCGCTTCGTGAGGATCGCGCTGCTCCTCACGCGCCCTGGAGCACGTAGGTCAGCCTCAGGCGGGTGGGCGACCGCCCGCTCCGGCTGTGCTTGAGCTCGTTGTAGCACCTAGCAGAGGAGGCGTGATTGATGAGAACCTCTCTCTGTGTGGGGGAAGGAGAGGGCACACTGCAGAGGGCACACTGGCGCAGCAACACCTGGACCTGCGGCGGCCGTCCTTCGCCCCGTCGCAGATGTACATGCGCTGCTCAATGATGCCTTCGAGAGCCGACCCGTCAGCCTAGTAGCAGTAAGCGCACTGTCAACTCATCCAAAAAAAAACAAGCCAGCCAGGCTCCCCGGACGAGTGCAGTCTGTGGCGGCTCGTGTCTTCGTATTCGGTGTTGCGTGAATCACGGGTCGGTCATCAACCTCACGCCCAGCAGGGTGGTTTTTACGTTCCGCAGCGCGAGCGACAAATATGTTCGCGAATGTGTGTCGCGGCCGAGGCCCCCGTGGGCCCATGCCCATGCTCCGATTCTGCAGCACCTCCTCCGCGCAAACAACTGCCGCCGCCGCCACCTCTGGTTCAACCATCGACCCGCTGCGCCGCTCCAATTTTCCATTTGACTCGCTTGCGCTGGCTCGGCAGCTACAGGAGTAAACGTCAGCGCAACCGAGCCCGCACACGCGCCTCTCGAGCCTCCTCGCCGCCCTCTCAGGCGGCCGGCATGCCTGCCGAGCAGAGCGAGTGCGTGACACAGTTCGTTCTGGACGCGCTCAGCGCGTCGGGCGAGGCGCGGCGGATTGAGGAGGAGGCGGCGCGTGAGCGCTTCAAGAACTTCATCGAGCTTGAGCTCAGGAGCAAACCCTTTGTGTGACACGCCACGCGGCTTGTACGATGGGCCTGACGGATCAGAGGCGGCGTAGGCGGATGAGGGATGACATCAAGAGATTCCGGGCGCGGCAAGAGAACGCTGATGCCAAGACGACTGCGCAGGTTAAGGAGGTGACGGAGAAGGGCTTCGCGCTCGGCGACCGTCTACGCGGCGAACAAGCGCGATCGGGTGGCTGTCTGGAAGGACGAAGTTCGTCACACCTTTGATGTGAACAGGCGAGAGCAAGCACGAGATCGAGCGGCTCACGTCGCAATACAAGGCGGAGCAATCGGCCCGGGGCGGGGGGGGGTCAAGCGTCGGTAGGGGAGGCAGGCAAACGGCCCGTACGCGAGATCTAATGTTGCACCGCTCAGCGCCCCGTAGGTGGAGCTCTCACTCGTGGACGGCAAGATTCGCGAGGACCTCCGCAAGGTAAGACCTCACCTTCTCTGGACGTTGTGGATCCTCCTGCTGCCATCGATCTCAGAGCAGTCGCGCATTCCTGAAAACAGGCGCAAAATACCTTCTCCGCCAAAGAGGCGAAGCTGGAGCTCGATATCGGCCGGCTGTACACAAAGATCGAGGTGAGGTCGCCCGTGATATTTGGCGGAGACAGTCTCGGAGCGTCCTCAACGAGAGGCTCTTGACCCTCCCCAGGCCTCCAAAAACGAAATGATTCGCTATACTTTGGGCACCATCTTTTCCCTCACCGCCGTCGCCTTTGGAATCGTCCGCTACGCCACCCTCTCTGGCTCGCCTCGGCGCGACTCGGCGTTGGGCGAGGGCGTGGAAGGCAGGGCACTGCCGCTTGGTGAGCGTTGAGCCTCCACAGCAGCCGTCTATTACTACTCTCTCTCGTCTCTGGTACGCAGGGTACTGCATGACCTGCTTGCGATGGGGCTTGGGGGGCGTCAGGGAGTACAGACAGTTCTTGCCTCAGTACGCACGGTATTCGGTACGGACAAGGTGTAACCACATCAGCTCTTAATATCTCTATGTTGATGTCTTTCCTCTACTCGAGAGAACGAGTGTAGTCGTCAGGGCAAGTGGGGGCGGGGTGGAGTGCCCAGGAGCGTGCCCTGGGATTTCTCTGCCCAGTCCGGGGGTGCGTCGAACCTTCCATCACCCTGGGAACGTCCGGGTGTTGGAAGTAAAGATATATTACTTTTTTTCTACTCGAGAGAACGAGCAACGAGAACGACCCGCGATCACCACACACCTCACTCGATGTTTGAGCAAAAACGCTCAGCTAACCCCCTATCCCATCGCGTCGTCCGACTCTTCGCCGCCCGTCTCGTCGCCTCGCCCCTTCCCTCCCGCCTCGTCGCCAGACTGCCACCGCTTCGCGGCCCGACTGCGCTCCACCGCTGCCGGCGACTGCTGCAGCGCCGCCTCCGCGGCTGGCGCCCTCTGTGGCGATGCCTTCGTCCTGCCGCCTCTGGCGAGGCCCGGCGTCTTCCGCCCGCCCCCCTCGGATGCCTGCGGCCGCCGCGCCGCCACAGCCTCCCTCAGGAGCGGCTGGACGCGCCGCAGCAGCGCTCGCAGGGCGGCTTCTTCCATCCCGTCTGGGTCTGCAGCCATCAGCGCCGCCGCCGCCGCCACCGAGTCCGCCGCCGCCTCCGCCTCCGCCCCCTCCTCCGCCTGCGCCTCCTCCGCCTGCGAGTCTGCCGCCTCCGCCGCCTCCGCCGCCTCCGCCGCCTCCGCCGCCTCCGCCGCCTCTTCTGGCGCTGTCGCCCGCGCCTGCGCACACGCTGCCACCGCATCGCCTTGCGCCTGGTCAAGGCAAGGCAAGATTAGGGGTAAACTTCTCCACACACACGAGGCGTGGAGCAGAGGCCGGGCGATCCCTCACGACTCCACGTCCAAAGACAGGAGCCCCACGGTAATAAATGTGTCAGGCCCAGTGTGCGTGGGTGTGCGGCGCGCGCGGCGTGTGTGTGTGTGTGTGTATGCAGCGGGCGCCCGGTCAACGTCGCTCGCATGCCCCGTCGCCTCGACTGCCACAGGCGCCGCCTCGCTCTGACCCCCAATCTTCTCGGGACTGCGCACTGAACCGCTCGCGGATCGGGCCGCACGCTCTCTGACCCCCAAGCGAGAAAATACGGAGGAGCTTCCCTGGGCGGACGCGCCCGCCGCCGCGCTGCCCGGCCTGCTGCCCTCGAGTAGACATCGTGTCGCATCGCTCAGGATGTGCCTGGTCTTTGCCAGCTTGCTGCGCAGGTCCGACACCGGAGCTGACGCAGCGGTGGCGCTGGCGCCGGGCCCGCCGGTCGTGGCCTGCGGCCGCTTCCGGGACTCGGAGGAGGCCGAGGAGGGCCACGAAGGGCCGTCGTCGAACCAGCCCGCGCCAGAGCTGGCGGTCGCGAGGGGCGGCTCATGCGATGGCTGCGGTGGCTCGCGCGGTGGCTGCGGCGGAGGGCGGGTGGGAGAGTGCGGCGGCGCGGCGCAGCGTTGTCTCGGCCGCGAGCACTTGCGGCAGCTCTCCCGCGACGTCCAGTTCTTGGTCGAGCAGCCTGCACACGTCCAATACTCCTGCTCATTGGCCGCCCTGCGGCAATGCTGCCCCCCTCCGCCGCCGCCCCAGCCCGTAGCCTGGTCGGTGGCGCCGCCGTAGCCGCCTCCACCGGTGTAGAAGGAGCCCGAGCCGTCACCAGCACTGAGGTTGCCCCATCCACCTCCAGGAGCGTTGCCATAATACCAGCCTCCGTGGCCGGTCCCCTGCCCGTACCAGCCCACCTGTCCACCCCGCGCCTCGCTGTAGTGGCCGCCGCGGGCACTCGCGCGGCGGTAGGCGGGGCGGCGATCCTGCTGCCGCCAGTGGGGGCCGCCGCCGGCGTAGTAGTCCATGTGTGCACACCGGAGCAGCGGCCGGAAAGAATTTTATCGGGGCGCAGCCGCGCATGGCGCCAAATGCCTTGCCACCCGACTCGACGCGGGCGTCGACCGCTGCTGCGTCGTCGCCGTCGCGCGAGACGATGTCGCCGAGGTACGGGAAGCGATCTACCACCTCCATGAAGCCGTTGTTTGGCAGCATGATCGGGGAAAGGTCGGTGCCGTCGAACGAGGTCGGATCTGAGTAGATGTGGTGCGGCTTTGAACAAAACAGCACCTCAGATTTCGACTTCTTGATCGGCGGCAGAGCGGTGAAGTCGAGTAGTCCAGAGTGGACCATGGGATCGAGCACGCCGGCATGTATCTCCATGCCCCAATCCGCAAAGTGCGTCATGAGGAGCGGCGTTTGTTGCTCCAAGTCAGCGCGTGAGCAGAAGGGGAGGCCGGTATCGTCAGCATACTGGGCTGGGTTTTTAGGCATTGTGGGGTTGGCACTCCCATCGACCCTCATGACCTCCTGCGGTCTCTGAGATGGACACCAGTGGGTGTGGGACCATGGCGTGCCTCCGCCGTGGGCTGAGCACCCGGGAGAGCCGCTCTGCAAGTGGTGTGCGAGCGTGTAGCCTTTAGCGTGCAGTCGGCCAGCTCACACAAAATCACAGTGGAGGAAAGCGGCGAGTCGCAATTCCTGGGGTCCTTGTGGCGGGTCACCCTGTCCAGAGAGGCATGAGTGCCAATCTGGGGTCTCTCGACCGAGTCTATGAAGCCCTGGCCGCTCCCGGTGGTGGTAAAGGTTGTAGAACCAAGCGGCGGAGAGATGGTGCGGGGGTATGGGTGTTCCAGAGGGTCACGACACGCGCCGACCCTTCACGAACCGAAAGGCTGTGCCCGGGGAAGGCACAGTAATCCGGCACGTGTTGGGCGCCCCATTCCGTCTGGGGCTAGGTCGGCTCAGGGCCCCGTCCACCTCCCTCCCACTTGGCGCGTGATGATGCGGAGATGCCACCCAGGCCAGCCAGGGCAAGGGCGGAGGGCGAGGGCGGAGGGCGGGATGGGCGCCAAGAGCGGGAGGGAGCGGGCGCAGGAGTGCCTCCTTGGGTTGTCTGTTCGACTTTCTGGGAGTGCACGGAGCTAAGTGCCTCGCCGTCCTCGCGGGAGTCGCTTGGGCGGCTCCCGTGGTGTACCTGTGTTAGTGCCAGTGCGCGCCAGTCCCGTGCCTAAGTGTCGTGCGAGGGAGTTTCGTTGTAAAATTCTACCTCTTTCTTTACTGAGTCGCTTAGGCGGCTCCGGTGGTGAGCCTGTGTGTGTGCCAGTCCGCGCCAGTCTGCGCCCTTGTCGTGCCAGTGTGCTGTGAGAGAGGCTTGTATCTTAAGAATTCTTTACTGTGCCAGTGTGCTGTGAGAGAGGCTTGTATCTTAAGAATTCTTTACTGGCCTCTGCGCTCTGGCGCGCACTGGCACTAACGAACGTCTCGCCCGGACGGAAGCGCCGCCATCACCGGAAGGAAGGGCGGCGCTCGGCTTGCCGCTGGAGAGCAGCATGGCCGGCGGTGAGTGGAATGCACAGCGCCTGAAGCGCCTTCTCGAGTCGGACGTGGAGCGCATCACCGCGGCGGCTGTGCGCGACGGCAAGGTCGCGGACGCCGCGGCTTTCGCCGCCGCTCTCGTCGAGTCTCTCAAGGCGGGCGACTCCCTCAGCATCAACGTCAAGGTTGTACACGCGAGTGGCGAGGAGGTCTTCTTCAAGATCAAGAAGAACACGCACCTGTCAAAGATCAAGAATGCGATCGGTCAGCGCCAAGGCGTCAACCCCCAAGGCCTCCGACTCGTGTTCAACGGCGAGCGTGTCCCATCCCTGGGAAGCGAGACGCCCGAGGAGTGCGGGATGGAAGATGGTGACGTGATTGATGCCTTGCAGGAGCAGATGGGTGATTAAAATGCCTGCGCCGTCTACTACTCCGTAGGAGTGTCTTGCTAGACTGGGTCCGCACCCAGTTTAGCTCTCGTACAGTATCAGTCTCGTAAAGCGTACTACGACAACACGGACGTGAGCTCACAGCCCCTTCGGGTTGGGTCCCGGGGGGCCCCAAAACGCAAAAGAAAAATTCCCGCAAATTGGGCCCGGGCTTGGGGCCCAGGGGCCCCCCCCCCCCCTGCATGGGTACCCTTTAGGGCCCCCACGCCCCGCCAAGTAAGGTAAACGTCTCCACACACACAAAGTGGGGGGCGGGGGGGGGGGGGGGCGACCCTCGCATCTCCACGCCCGGGACACGGGCAGGAGCCCCACGGCATTCAAAGTGCAAGCACCGGCCCGGTGCCGTGGGTGAGCAACCTGCAAACTAGGTGCATTTCCCACCATGACATGAGAAGGACTTGCAAGCTTGGTGCCAAGCGCAATCATCGCCAGTATTTCCCAAAGCTTGACACTTCCCTTTGCCACCGCCATGCCCGTCATTGCAATACGTGCTTTCACATTCGTAATTCCAGTAGCAAGAAGCACCATTGGCTTTTTGCGCACCGTAGTAGCAGAACCCCTGGTAACAAGTAACAGGAGATCCTGGGCAATCGGAATCTTGGTTGCAGTTATGAACGGCAGATCCAATCTCACAATAGTTGAGCGCCGTGTTACACAAGGCGTAAAGAAGGCAGAGACCATCAAGATGCTTGACACAAGGACATTCCTGGCTGTTGAAGCAGCGTTGAAACTGCAGGTCCTCTGCAGCCGGAGCCGGAGACGGAGACGGAGCAGGGCGAGAGACCTTGCACGAGTTGCCCCACGGGCTCGCAGTAGACACGGCATCGTCCTCCTTGAGCGTGTCAGGTGCCACTGTGCACACGCGGTAGTAGTGGGGATCCTCCGACAGAATCGTGATTTCCTTTGTTGGATCCACAGCGTAGCTGGCCGTATCACTGTTTGCGTTGATGTGAAGCTGCTTCAAGACTCCGTTGTCAGTGTACTTCACAAGCACCGCCTTTGAGTTGTCCCCGTTTAGGAAGCGAATGGAGACTTGGGAGGCCGGCGAGTCGAGATCAACCAGGCCGTCCTCCTGCGCGTCGGGCACGGTGAGGATCGGCAGAGCGTTGACGACGCCAGCGCCGACGGCGAGCAGCATCAGCTTTGAGAAGATCATTGTCCTGACGGACACACTCGCGGTGAGTCACGCGTTGGGAACGCGCGTGTCGGCGGTCAGTGGCGGGCGCGGGGCTGGCACTCACGATGGATGTGCGATGCGAGACGGTCCTGGCAAGGGCCTTTCGACCGCCTGCGAAAGGGCGCGGGTGTCCTTCCAGGGGCTGAATTCCCCACAGCAACAGCACCTAACCTGCCCCTTTTAAACAAACTAAATGTAAAATATTTTGAAGAGACTTGAGGGCGGCCACTTCCATGTGTGCCCCCCCCCCCCCCACCCACCCCCCCCCACCCACCCACCACCACCACCACCACTGGCCACCACACAAGGCGGCGGCGGCTCTACAAAAATAAATCATTCGAACGTAAACCTGGTACAACAACAGGATCACAGAGGTCGATCACGTACATCCGCATCGAGGCAGAGCCTACTGCCTAGGGCAGGTGCGCTGCGTACCACGCCTCGAGGGCTCGCAGCGCCCCCTCCCCCTGCTCGGTGTGCTGGTGCGGCCCGAAGTGACCCATCCCGTGTGCGGCGCCGGGGTAGACGCGCAGCTCTATGATGTATCTTATTCCGGGGCCCGTGTGCGGGGAGCGAACCTTAGCGACCGCCCAGAAGCTTTCTGAGCGACCCAATCGGGCCGGGATCATCAGCATATGTCCCCTCCACAACATCGTGGGCGTTTGAGCGGTATTTGAGGACCACCGCCACTCTGAAGTTCGGCCGGGTGGTCTGCAGACCCCCCCCCCCGCCCCCCCCGGAGCAGCAGAGGCTCCGTGGGGTCAAAAAGTCGACGCTGGGAGTCGCACTCGTCAAGCCATCGCAGCACCACGCGGTCCGCACGTACCGCCCACATCCCCTCCACCGCTGAGAAGGCGCAGATCGACCGCCGGGCCGCGGACCCGATCGTCTGCTGGAGATCCCCGTCGCCACCTCCACGCGACGGAAGACCAAAGCCAAACAGCGTAACTCTCTTGCAGCGGCGGAGAAAGTGGATCGCGGCGGCGAGACCAGTCGACGGGCCGCTCTTTGCGCACGACTCGTTTGCCTGCCGAGGATTGGCGCTGCATTACCTCTGGTGGCACGAACGGCTAGCCGGTCGTGTGCGGTCGTGTGCCATTTTCTTACCTATTACCTATTTTCTAAGCATCTGCCTGCTCCAGGTAGAGTCGCCACGTCTCCTGCACCTCCTCCTTCGACGGGGCGGGCGCACAATCGATCCAACCAGGCAACGCGTGCGCGATGCATCGGCATCTCCCGACAGAGGCGGCCTGCTTGGGGCATGATAGCGGCGGCCCGCCTGCTCGTCCGCCGCGCTGGGCCCAGCGCCGCGACTTGCCTATCGCGAGATCATGTGCGCTGCATTTGGCGCCTTTGAGAACGGCCGATACAGTGGTAGCACTGCCAGTGGCCGAAGGAAGATGTGGGTGACAGTGAATAGCTGTCATCTAGCGCGACTTGCCGGGCACTCGGCACTTGTAATCGTCCGTCACACACCAGTTGTCGGAGACAAGCACCGCGACTTGAGGCGAGCCGCTGCGACCACCGTTGTCGTCTGCGTGTAATGGTTGGAGCTGGTGATGCTGCGGCGGCTGCAGCGGCTGCAGCGGCTGCAGCTGGCGCAGCCAACGCGCGACGCTCTCTTGAAGGAGAAGCAAGACATGATAGCCAACTACCACCGTGGTGGTGCGGCGGCCAACATGGTGGTGCAGCGCCTCTGGGGTCGAGGGGCGGGCATCGCCAGTCAGAGGATGTCTGGCTGCTGATGACGAACGTGAGCGGTGAATGAGCAAAAGCCAAGGTGATTGCCTCTCACGTGCTATGCTGTGGGTGGTCTAGTGGCAGGAGTGGGAGAGGCTGACCTGGCACGGGCGCCAGGTTGAAGCGGACGATCTCGTCGTGGCTGTCAATGGCATCTCCAAATCTATACCGTAGCAGCGCATCAGAAGAGGACACGAGCGCGCATCGGCCGAGCGGGCGCGATGCGATTGCACTGCTGGTAAGGCGGGGAGTGCTGCTTGTGCAGCGACGCACGGTGGAGTCGATGGTCGCAGACATCTTCGTATTGCGTCAAGCACTGCAATGTGGGGAAGTGCTGCTTGTGCAGCGACACGGTGGAGCGGCGGGCATGAGGCTTGGAGGGCTGGAGCGCTGACCGCTGTATCGACAACGGCGATATCTCTTTGCTTTCTTCTACCGAGACCGATCAGGAACTACGGCAAAGTGTTTTCTGCTCAGAGAGAAGATATATCAAGACGACGACAAGAGGTGTGCGTGTCTGCGCCGCCCCGCAACTCTTCGCACATACACAGGTTCCCACACGCATTAGTATCTCAGTCCAGTCCCTGACAGACGCTTCAGACAGGGACAATATCCTCGCGGGTTGATCGCGAAATGTGCCCAAACTCCATGGCCCGCGGAACACCAAACACTTGAACAAACACCCGCGGCCCTCTCAGTGCGAGAGCGGCCCGCGGGAAGGGGAGCGATGGGAAGGGGGAGGGGGGGGGGGGGGAGCGGGAGGACGGGTGGGGTGGGGTGGGGTGGGGTGGGGTGGGGTGGGGCGGGCCGGGGTGGGCAGATAGCGGAGACAGAAAGCGCAAGGGGGAAAAGGGAGAAGAGGAGGGGGGGGGGGGGGGGCCCAAAAAGCCACCCCCCCCAGGGCGAGGGGAGGAAAGTGAACCCCCCAAAGCCCCCCCGGTGAGGGGGCCG